GGTTGAGTTCGGAGATTCTGAGGCAGGGGTGCGTAGCCGAGACCTCCGGGAACTCCAAACGAACACAAACATGGATGATCACCGGGTGTTCAAACGGTGACGTCCAAGTCTTGAGGACGGTCAAAAATGGGGTGTCTACAGATCTCTTAATTCTTTCTTATAAGGATCATTATGATCAATTGTTGTCCGTTTTCCTTTTCTATTTTGCACCACAAAATCAGGATTGGGTGTGTAGAATACATCCATGGACCCCTTCTTCTTCAACCTTTTTGATCCAGCAAAAGAACTATTTTGATTGCTTGGCAATGCTTTACCACTTGATCCACGAGGCCGCTAAATCTCATAAGCAATGTCATCTTCATCCTCTTCAAAATCATTGTTCATCTCATCAAAATGAGGCAACAAGTTCATTTGATCTTTCTGTGTTTTCTTGTTTCCCATATACTCTTTTATCTCTTCCCTTACATCAAGTGGACATTTTTGACAAACTGTGACATTCCTTGAACCTCCAACAAGATGTTGTTTGACTCTATAAACCCCTCCATTAGATACTTTACCACAAAAATTACACTTAAATTGATTTGGGTTCTTAGGATCTAACTGATGTGCATATTTCCATGCAGGATCTTTTCTTGTACTTCGGATGCCATCTAAATCATAGAAGTAGAGAATTCAAAATTAAAAAAATTAATTTTAGTATATTTTAGTTGAACCATAAACAGAGCACAACTAGAAATTAAATTAAATTCTGAACCATAATCAGAGCACAACCATAAACAGAATTAAAAAAATTAATTTTAGTATATTTTAGTTGAACCATTAATTTTAGTATATTTTAGTTGAACCATAAACAGAGCACAACTAGAAATTAAATTAAATTCTGAACCATAAACAGAGCACAACCATAAACAGAATTAAAAAAATTAATTTTAGTATATTTTAGTTGAACCATAAACAGAGCACAACTAGAAATTAAATTAAATTCTGAACCATAAGAAAAAAAAAAAAAAAAAAAAAAAAAAAAAAAAAAAAAAAAAAAACAGACGAGACGAAGAGACGAGACGAAGACAGAAGAAGACGAACAAGGCAGACGAGACGAAGCAGAAGAAGACGAAGAACAAGCAGACGAAGAGACGACCAAGAAGACGAAGAGACAAAAAGACGAACAAGACGAAGAGAACAGACGAACAGACGAAGAGAACAGACGGAGAGAAGGAGAAGAAGAGACGAAGAAACAAAGAGAACATACCTGGGCATCCTGAACTGGAAGACGACTGCGCTGGAAGATGATTGGAATAGAAGAACTTCTTTGGAGATTTGGATTAGGGCTCGATGTTTCTTTCGTCGTCGCTGATTTGGGCTAAATCTTCAAGTATATTTGAAGGAAATAATCTGCTGTAGCTGACCCTGAAATCTTGGTGGTCCAATCTGTATGAAAAAAAAAAAAAAAGAAGCCCTCAAGGCCTGCGCCTTGGGCTTAACTGCGCCTAGCTCCAAGCATGCGCTTTAATCGCGCCTTAGTGACATCGCCTCGCCTTGACCACTGCATGGCGCAAGGGGTGGGCATGGCTGGGCTTTGCGCCTAGGCACGCTTTTAATAACACTGATATAATCAAATGTATTCTTTGTATTATTACACAATTTGAATATACAGAAAACTTACAGATGTTTGTTGAAAACCCCCCTTTTTTTGTTTTGTTACTCGGGAATCTTTCAAATTTTTTTTTTTTTTTTTTTGTGATATAAACAAAAAAAAAATAGCACAAAAGCTTAATTTCCCTGAGGAATGATCTGATTTTTTTTTTGGGTGTGTCATTTGGTATGAACAAAAGATTATATGCAAATTATGGCATTTGTTCTTAAAGTGTTGCCTACAACTACCATTCAAGGACAGGAGAACCGTGCCTCATTACTTCAATGCGGGAGATGTGCTAGAAATATTTCTAGAAAGCAGAGATCAACTATTCCATTGTTTTCAATTGTCTCAACACAATGGACTTACAATCTTGGTAATCACACATTAATCTCTTGTACCCTTAAACAGATGTCCATTTTCAATTTTGTCTCTCACTAAAAAGTGTATGCTTGCTCCATATATATGTTTTTGCTGTTTTGTAGTCAAAGTGTGTCTAGTGCAATTGAATTGTTAAAACTACTACTTCAATTTATCCAGAAAATCAAGTTCCATTTATCAAATAATATATGTTCATAATAGTGCAGTACAAATGGTATTGCTGTGTGCATATTACTTTCACATATGCAAGTACAGATCATCAAAGTATACAAAATGACAATATGATTTTTCTTGTTATGTTTGAGCTAAAGTAGGTTATATCTTCTTTTCTTCTAACAAGTGAGATTTTAAATGATTTTGAACATTAGAGTCGAGTCATTGTCCCTATCTTTCTTAAATCGGTTTCTAAATTTTAAAATTTTCCCCATATTAAATGAGTTTTAGACCAAATACATATTTTGTGCATCAAATTGATTGAATCGACAGAATACTACCATGCTACGTGGGATGGCTATGAAAGCAGCAGTTAAGTAGTATGGTCTAGGATAGTAGACCAGGAGCAGGACATTCTATTTTGCCTGCATTTTGGTAACATTCTATTTGGCCTACATCTTGATAAGTGGATGGAGGCTATAGGCAAGGGGCTCCAGTTTCATGTCTCCTAACATTTATTGGCACTGATTTGGATACCATGCTGTACTTTGATGCTTAGTCCCAGGAATCCCATAGTAGAGCATTGAGTTTGGTCAGTGAGTGTATATTAATTAGGTTAGAGATGTGTGGAATACCATCTTAATTACATTTGAGTTTTTCTTGTAAGCACATTATGGAATACCTTCTTAATTATTAGTCAGTGTCCGTGATCGTGACATACTCACAGCATACTTGGTTAAGGGTAAACATGTTCTCTCTCTCTCTCTCTATATATATATATATATTAAATTTTTCAATGAAGTGAACATCAACAAGGGATCCATCACTTGGGTTGTATCTGGTTTCACTTTCACAAACCACTCTGCCGCTATTTGGCTGTGTTAATTTTACTTTAAGCCTTAATGATTACTATGCTGTCCATTAAAATTCACTCTTGGAAAGGCTGTTAAAAAAATTTCATCAATCTTTTATGCTTGCTATGATAAGGGTGATCATATATGTAGGTTAGGTTGTGTCTTTTTTATGTGGCTGGTTGCCATTTTATTTTGTGTAATTGATTCATCTTGTGGTTTTGTGGTTACAATATTCTCATACAGGTGAATGGTTGTACTGGTAAGATGGGGAACGCAGTTATAGAAGCAGTTGCTTCAAAAGGAATTCATCTTGTTCCTATATCATTTTAGCAGAAGTAATGAGTCTGGGAAAATTGTGCAAGCGGGTGGAAAAGAGATTCAGTTGTATGGTCCTTCTGAAAGAGAAAGCATTTTAACATCTGCCTTTGAGGAGTGTCCAAACTTGATGGTGGTGGACTACACATTGCCTGCTTCAGTGAATGGTAAGTGTGAATGGATCTTTAGATGTAAGAAATATTTCAAATTTGGTTTGGAGTACACTTCAATAGCTGGGCTTTGGAGGCTCTACATGGAACTCACAGCCCTGTCCACCATGACCAAATTTTAGAAATATTAAATGCAATGCATATTTTCCCATGTTTTTTTTTTTTTTTTTTTGATGTTAGAATTATTGAACTTGAAGGTAAATATTGGAGGTAAATATTGGAAAGCTGGGTCAATTTTCCTACATTTGGTAGGGGCTATTTGAGTGACATTATTGTCTTATCCTCTGCCAATGTATCCAGTTGCTTGCATAATTTTCTTATTCAGGAATAAAGCAGTGATCATCAAATTTCCAATCATCAAGCTTTTAGTTAATGGTTTTGTTATTATCATGCAATCTTCAGATAATGCAGAGTTATTGTAGAGTTGGGGTGCCCTTTGTAATGGGTACTACTGGTGGAGACAGGGAGCGGTTGTATAAGATTGTAGAAGACTCAAAAGTTTATGCTGTGATCTCACCTCAAATGGGAAAACAGGTGATCAGGATTCAGTAGCCGTATACTGGCTTTTATATAATTTAACTTTAACATTGTCAATTTGTCTTTCCTTGTCTGGTTGAAATTTTGATTGGCTGGCCTTGATTAGGTTGCAGCATTTCTTGCATCAATGGAAATTATGGCTGAGCAATTTACCAGGGAAAGGCCCTTCCCTGGATATTTCCTAGAGGTAACTTCTAAATTTTTCTCTGTTTTTTTTTTTTTGGTTTTACTTTTCCTTTTCATCTGTATCTGTGTTGCTTGCTTTTTGCCTTAATATTTCCATATATAATAACTCAATATCCCAAGAGGCATCAGTAATGTTGACATTACAAATCTTTGTTGCGGTGGCCTCCATGCCAGAAGCTATGAGAGATTTTTTATTTAACTATTTTGGTATGGAGATATGAATATTGAGTCATGCCACTTTTGATAAAATGTTATGAACAGCACTAATTGTATCAACTTTATAAAGCCTTGATCCAACACTTGGGTTTTTGGGTTACAGTTCAGCCCATTTGTTTAGGTAACTTATGGTTGAGAAGTCTACACTACTTAATCTATCTAGAAGTCAATACTAACTTTTTCCTTGAATCTATATGCGGATGTTTAGAGTCTTTAGACTGACATCTTGTGTATTTTTCAATCTTGCAGGCGATGGAGTCTTACCAAGCAAGCAAATTGGACACGTCTGGAACTGCCGAGGCTGTCGTTGGAAGCTTTAAAAAGCTGGGAGTCTCCTTTGAATTGGATAAGGTGCGCTAGGGGATAAGCACAGCATCATGGTTTTTAGGAGGCTAGTATCATGGTTTTTAGTAGGGCTAGTATCATGGTTTCTAGTAGGCTTATGCAGCTCAACAACTTTTCCATTGTTTTCCCACCTTTTTCTTTATTTATTGCTTAGTTATCAGAGTAAACATTAGCGAATGCTTATATTTTTCTTTTTTTCAAAAAAATAATAATTATGTCCTATTATGTCGTTTAGTTGCGATCCCCTGCTTCTCTTTTTCTAAATTTCTGGCTTATTCGTCAAAATGTTTGGAAATTTTTCGATCAGATACAACGAATCCGTGATCCAAAGCAACAAATGGAGATAGTGGGTGTGCCAGAGGAGCATCTGTCTCATCATGCATTCCATTTGTATCATCTGACATCACCCGATCAAACGTAAAGTTATTCATTTCTTATTTTTATGCTTTCTATTTTTGTATTTTTTACTCTTTTTAAGTCCTGCCTTCCAGCTTATATGGGCATCGAATAGCTTTTGACAAATATAAAATTAAAAAACTACACAATAAATATAAGCAAGTGTACCGATGTGTGCTCAAAAGAAATGAAAGCAATACGCATTAAAGAAAGATAAGGGCAGTGTAGAGGGAAGAGATTCAAACTCCAAGATTTATAGTAGTTTTGGTTTAACCCAAGCCCATGTCCACTCCCAAGGCTCCCCCTTTAGTTTCTTCACTATTCTTGAAAATAGTAACAACTAGCAAGCTTTCTGGTAAAATAAAAATCGCACGGCGGGTGGTGGATTGACAAAATTGACATTAAAAATTGCCGTTTTGTTTATCAAAAACCGGCGGTTCGACTGGCAAATAATGGCGGTTTTGACTTGACGGTTCGGACGGATTGACGATTTATAATACGCATAGTATATATAAAAATTCAAGTACTCAATATTTCAGCCAAAACATTTTTTATATTCAAACAATAGTTAACAAATTACACACTTTTTTTTATTATTGAGCAACAGTAGCTAACAGTTTATATATATATATATATATAGAAAAATGTACCCACACACACACATAAATATATAGAGAGAGAGAGATCATATAGAGAATCCACAATATACAAAAAAAAAAGAAAAAGAAATCCATTAAGAAACAAAATCTGACTCATAGACAAAGAAGGATTGAGAAGATGGACTAATGACTTAAATAGAAACAAAGAGTATTTATAATTTCTTCCATTGAAAGATGGTATCATGGAGAGTATTGAGAGCAGCCATGGATGAATCCTCTGAATCTAACTAAACAAACCCAAAGCCTTGCTCTTCCCATGTTCCTTAGCCACCTTGCAAGAAAGTATAGTTCCAAACTATGAAGCACGGACACATCGCTGGAGGTAGCGTATGGGTGTCGGACACGTGTCGGACACGGACACACGTCGGACACGTGGTAGACACGTATCCGACACTCGACCTAACGTGTCCCTGTTTTTTTTGAATTTTTGCAGGTGGACACTCTTTCGGACACGCTTGACACGTCGTGGACACGTTGTAAACAGAAACCCTAACCAGAGACCTAACCCATTGAAGATAGAGAGAAAGAGAAAGAGAAAGAGAAAGAGAGAAAGAACCTGTCGAGGCTAGATCGAGGAAGAACCTGTTCGTCTCTCATCGTCTTTATCTCCTCTCTCTGTCCATCTCTCTCTGGTGTCGCCTCTCGCTCTCTGATCGTGTCTACCTCTCGCTCTCGCTCTCGCTCTCACCTCACTTTCTTTCCCTCTTCCTTACACCGTGTCTGTCTCTCCCTCTTTATTCTTTTTATTCTTTTTTTTCTTTTTTATGCCTTTCTTTTGTAAATAAATAATATAAACAAATACAAATAATATATTTATTTTTTAATTTTACATATAATAAATAAAATAAATAAATAAAATTAGTATATATTTTTTAATTTTACATATAATAATATATAAAAGAAATTATATATATTGAACGTGTCCCCAACGTGTCGTGTCCCCTATTTTTTGAAAATTTGCGTTTTTGCGTGTCCGTGTCATGTCGCGTGTCCGTGTCCGTGCTTCATAGGTTCCAAATTTGCAGAAAACTCCCTGCAAGCGAGCACTGGTAACAGAATGGTCAAGGTTAGCGGCGGTGCCAATCGGAGGAGGAGCGAGAGGGGAGACAAAATAATCTGATGAATGAGATGATTTAGAGTACCAACCACGGATATGTGAGAGGCAAGTCGATTGGCTGTGATCGGAGACAGCGGCGAGTCGATCGGCGACAAAGGCAAAAAGGGCGAGATGGAGAGGCGCTTGAAACCCTAGAAAGAAATTGACCATCTCTTTCTCTCTTCCAAAGCAGTGTCATGAGCCTATATATACATAGGCAGTGCGGGTTAGTTTGGTCAGCTTGTTAGAGTTTTGAAACTGCCACCCATGCCGCCCACCAAGCAGGGACCCCCCACCCGCCCAACCTGCCCGCCAGAACTGAAAAAATGCGCCGTTCGGTGCGGATTTGACGGTTTCAGCGGTGTTATGCACAGCCCCAGTGGTTGGAGTGCATTTAATGCAAAAAAGAGCCATTGAAAAAGTTGTTCTAATGCTGTCAGGTTTGAAATTTTAAGACTACAGTGTCGAAAACTAAATAGAAAAGGATCGACACCTTCCTCTTCCTGTACAAATCCAGCACTCCTTGGAAAATATTGTCAACACTTTTCCAAAAGGGGTAAACAGCTTTGTTGACCAAAAGCTTCGTTTGGGATGTAGGTTGGCTTTTTGGCTATTTTAGCCTAGTGCTAAAAAGTCTCGTTTAAGATAGACTTTTTTGATTTTTGTGAGACAAAAAATTAAATAATTATGGTTTGGATGTGACATTTTGTTTTATTGGTTTTTTAGCCAATTTTTGCCAAAAAGCCTCAAACTTTTTCATGCCAAACGAGCACAAAATATTCTCTGATGAAAGGGAGCGACATCAAACAACATGGGGTTGATTCTAAACATTCCAACTTTGAAAATTCAACTTGTAGGTGTTTCAGAACATGTTCAAACACAAATCCAACTTCAAATAATGTTATAAATGAATCGTGTAAGCTACTCATCATTTCTCATCATTAAACAAGTTCATTCTCGGATCATTTGAATCTACATCAAATATAAAACATGATTATGCACAAGAACTCAATTTTTGAATACAAATACTTGAGATATAAAAATAAGAACTGTTGTATCTTGTAAGCACAAAATGATATCATTCTTGGAGTTCTTCATGCTTAACCTCTTGAGAGCAGAAGATACATAATTTTTAACACAAAAGCTCTCTCTTTTTTGTGACAGTCAATACATATCAATGTACAAGTTGTGTATCACTCTAAGATAAGTTAGATAAAGATCATTTAAGCACAAAACAAATATCAAATCATTTGTGTTTGAAGTTTTTGAATCCGAATCATTAGAGAATGAAAACTATAAAACATTTTAAAGCTCAAGCTCTCTTTTTCAAATAATTGTGGATTACTTTTGAAAACATCTATTAATCCTATGTATCATTTCATTAAGGCATCCAATAACTAATATCAAAAGATTGGAAATTCTAGCCACAAGTTTATCAAATGTAAAGCACAAATTTTGCATCAAGGATTGGCAAACATATATCACGATGAAACATGGCAACCCAATGCATTCTTGAAATCATCAAAACTAAACCATCGGACTTACTGTTTTCTATTCTGATTTTTGCAGTGTTTCTTTAGAGTTTCAGCATAATGTTTGTGGCAGCTCAATGTCTGCTGAGGGTACTGTAGATGTTATAATTTTCCTCTCTCGAAAGGTGCTGAAGCTTCTCTGTTTCTCCTTGAATTTTAGTGATAGTTACTTTAGTTTCACTGCTGGAAATTAGGCTTTTAGCGGCGTTTAAAAAACGCCGCTATAGGTACCAAAAACGTCGCCAATACTTTTTGTGACGTTTAATACCAAACGCCGATGACGCGGCCGTCGCTATAACTTTATGGCGTTTGGAAAACGTCGCTGTATTAGTATAGGCGGCGTTTTTAAAAACGCCGCCAAATGCCCTGCCCTAACAATACTGTGACGTCAGTATGATTTTAGCGACGTTTTTAAAACGCCTTCATAGGTTTTTTTAATTTTAAAAATTCCAACCGTTATAGTGGCATTTGAAAAACGCCGTCTTATCTTTCTTTTTTTTTTTGGTTTTGAAATTGTGCTAATTTTATGTGATTGAACTAAAAGAACACCAATAATAAAACTAAATAACACTAATATGAAATAATAACTCCCATTCAAATAACAAATATAGTATTAATTCACTTTCCGATTCAATTTAATATAGCATTAATTTTTCCACAAAATAACATATCCAAAAATTGAATTCACAATTCTCAATCAAAAAATTACTACCTTATATACAAAGCCACAAAAGTTAAATCCAATTGAAACATAAAACCAATAAGTACCTTAAAAATGTCTTGGCTTCGAATTTTGGAAGATACATTACAGGGATTTAAAATTATTAGAGAAACTTACTAGAAAAGGCTTATGCCGATGACTATGAATGGCAATATATTAGCTAGAACAAACACAACTAGCTGAGTCCTAATTAATGAATTAGGAATCATTTAGATTATCTAAGGCAATGGCAAATCATTCGCATGCTTATATTAATGTTTCTCCTACGTAAAACATTTTCGGAAAGTGTTAAAAAAAGAATAAAGAACAGGAAATAAACTCGGCCGAAGTTCTGGGTTTTCTCCGCAGCATGCTTTTGATGAGGGCCTGACTGGAAAACAAAAATAGAGCAAGGATTAGATTAAGACACTAATTAAAGGCCACAATATACAAATAAGAACACAATTCCTCACGAGGAAAAATCTAAATTTTCATAGGCATCAAAAATATGCCAAGTTGCAACTTGCATTCATGATTGCATTATAACTTATATATGTATTTATGTGACATTTGTGTATACACTTACCCAAGGACCAAATGTCTGACTTAGAGCCATAAGGTATGTCAGCAAGAAGCTCAGGGCACATATAACTTGGAGTTCCTACAACCTGAGTTACGAAAAAGAAATCTTGAACAATAAAACTAATGCAAATGTTGAAACTTGAAAAATGAACCAGTTAACCACAAGACTTACAGAGGATGCAAGATCATCTGATGGCAACATCTTAGCAAGTCCAAAATCACCTGCAACAGGATTAATCAATGGTGATTCAGCAAAATACTGACACCTCTCAAGACTATTAAAGAAAGAAAACAATTGAACAAGCTATAAGCAATTGAACAAGCTATTTACACAGCTTCTATAAACAATTTAACATCAATGTATCAGTGAACAAAGAAATTGTGAGCTGATACAAATTGAAAACTGCAGAGGTGGGAGGTAGAATGCAGTACAATCTAGATTGCGACAACAGAAAAGAAAACGAAACAATATAAATGTGATGCTAAGATACTAGAAATATAAAACAACCTCATCGGAAAAAAGAACACCATTTGCTTTCTTTATAGCTTCTGCCCTGTAAAAGACAAAGTAGCAAAAAAGATGACATCATATAGATTGCATGTAAAGTTTCAGCCCAAGTAAATGGATTAAGCCAAGTATTGCAGTTTTAGCCAGAAAAGTCACTCACATGTCTCCTCCTTCACAATAACCAATAATGATGCATACATAGCAGCCCTGAGAGCCAAGACAATGAAATTGTGAATTGTAACATCCAAAAAATGACAGACCATATGCAACTATTCTGAAGTGAATAGAAAAATAAATAAAAGAGGAAAGTCACTGTAACAGTTTTAATTCATGACATTGCTTAATTAGCTTCTCAAAACTTTCATAATCTACGTGAGCAGAGGAAAACACATGTTGGATTTAGAGAACTACACAAAATAATATATATATATATATATGTATAGAAAGAGAGAGAGAGAGAGAGAGAGAGAGAGAAGTATCCATAAATGATGGCATTTAATGAGTAAAGTTTCATAATGTTAAGACCAATGATCAACTGGGTTAAACAATGAAGCATATGAAAGCAATATCAGCATGACAGGAAGGAAGGAACAAAAACAAATAGAATAGACATTCAGGTAGCCTATTAGACCATCAGAAAACAAAGGATGAAAGAAAATACCAATGTCAATTGAACAACATCAATAATACAAGATATAACATCTACTGACCTTCTCTACCCAAGAATCTTTATACTCCACGCCTTCGTTAATTTTGTAAACTAACCCTACTCCAACATCCTAAAACAAATATAAGAATAAAATAAACAAATAAACAGCAGTAAAGGACTTAGACTCACCCTGCTCCAACGTCCTAACCCTTGTTGTTTGGCTTGCTCTTCAAGGCGTAGCAGTTCCGCTAAGAAAGGACTAGCTTCTCCTTTCTGTTGACCCTGCTCCCTAACCTGCAAGCATCAGATTTAGCTAATGCCCATACATACAGAACAAATCCAACGTTGGAAATGTATGCACCAAAGAAAAAAGTGATATAACCTTTGCCCAGCCTCCAGCAACAACCATCAATGAGACATTCTTATCGCCGAGGAAAACTGAGCCGAATTCTCGCCCTATGGCTGGTACAGTATAATCCACTCTGAAAGTGACATCCTATTCAAAAAGATAAATTGGGTAAGATGCGATAATTCCAACTCGTTCATTAGAAAACTGATATGTTGCAATCATAGCTAAAGGCATTTAAATGAGCACCTTTCCTATACAAAGCTTCCTTAAATACTCTCTGCTCTCCCAGGCAAATGACTCGTCAATACCGCCCCTACGAGCCTAGAATGTAAATGGGGGGGAGGGATGAATAATAAAGAAATAAAAATTTGATAAAGAAAATGTACAAAATATGAAACATGTAATGCTAGTTAAATAGACTAACCAATCTAGGGGCAATAAGGGATGACAGAGTAATTTCATGATGCGTTCATCACTCAAACTGCGAGCCTACCTCGGTCGTCAGGAGTATCGATAAAGACATTTAACTGCCCCGATTTGTGACCAAATTTAACGATTACAGTAATGATACCTCCCATTTTGGACCTTCAATTTTAAACTCCCAATGACATGGTAAATATTCATTAGATAAATACTTTAACGAAACGGTAAATATCCATTAGATAAGTATACTTTAATGAAACTTTGAAGTCACATGACTTATGATATATCACTTGAGATTAATTTAGGAATCTAAAGCTAGAGATTTAAAATATTTCTAAAATCATAATGAAAAGTCTCATTTTAGTTCGAAATCATAATGAAGAGTGAGGAAGGGCATTGTTAGCTCATATACTTGTGACTTCAAACAAACAGGGCATCAAAGAAAATGATAATGGGTACTCATTAAAGAATGAGCAAGTGTTGTATTCAATGAGCACAGAGAGTCAATTTGTTTTCTACTCGTAATCCTAGGAAGAGCCCAGAGGTCATGTCTCCATAATGAACTAATAAATGAACATTGTCTAATTTATGCATACACATACAGTGATACTAATCAATGAAACCAATTGTTCTCGATAGAAAGGGAAAGACAACTAACCGGTATCAATGAAGCCGATAACGACATTAACTTGGTTCTTGGTGGAATACCCA